TGGTGCCACTTTTATAAATCTCTTCACTTCAATTCCAATTTTAATTGTTTTAGGTATCTAAATGAGAATTTGCAACTTTCTAAGACGTTTAGACTTTAGTTTTGCAGTTTAGTCTGCTGTTCATCAGTGGGAAGCTGATGAGGTTTAGATCCTCTTCTGATCTTGTTGGATTGTCTGCTGCTGGTTAGCAGTGGTGAGTAGTTAATTTTTATTGGTTATTTCTTTACTGCTAGTAATAAATTTAATTTGTTTTAAAATCTTAATGAGGATCTGATATTTTTGCAGGATCATCAAAAGCAATTTCCAATTATTTCCCCACTAATTTCAGTACAAAGCTGATTGATTTTTGTCAGTTGTATGAAATTTAATTTAATTTGAAAATACTTCATTAATTCCAAAAGGAAATTAAATTTTGTCATAACTCGTATCGATGATGTTGATGTTTTTCCCTGTAGACAGGCAGGATATTCTGCAGCAGTTAGTATTGCAGCAAATCTGAAGAAGCCTCTGACTGAACAGCCACTGACTGCTGTATGAAAGGCAGATGTAAAGAATGTTCAGGGTTACCTGTAATTTTCTTGACTTTATGAAGAGTCCTTCTTTGTGGCATCGTCTCCGGTGGTCATAGTCGTCCCCAGAACAGAACTAGCCTTCTTTATCTGCTTGTGTTGCATTTTTAAGACCCTGGCTCTGATGCTGCTACGCCAACAGATGACGCCAGAAGAGATTACTCTCAACAACAGATTTGTAGAAAATATGCAGCATCTTACTGTAAACACTAAAGGACTTATTTTATATACGACTTTGTTGTTGCGTTTCTCCAGTTCAGTCTGTTGTCCAAGTAACCGCCGAGGTATTTATACCCCTCTACTTCTTCTCCTATGATGTTAATAGTGTTTCCCCAACCTTGTTTCTCTTGAAATCTGCAGCCTTCTCCTTGTGTTTACATTCAAGATAAGATGATTGTTTCCATACCATACCACAAAACGATCCACCAGCTCAAATACAATAATTATCTGTCTTTTTAGACAGCATCTGTAAATATTTAGGTTGAGCTGTAATTTTCTGTATTTGTATTCAATTTTTTAAAAAAAAAGAAAAACTGAGGAAAACTCAACCACCAGTAGAAATCTTTTTTTTTTTTTTTTTTTTTTTTTTAATTTTGGCAAAAAAAAAATTTTTCAGTTTTTTTTTTTTTT